AATGGATGTCAGAAGAGGCTCTGCAACTTGCTCCTCAATGTAGAGGAGCTAAAGGGAATGGAAGAAATGAAGTGAAAGGGCTGAACAGAAGCTTTTAAAGAACAGCTTGAAGAGATCAAGGAACGTATTAGAATGAAACGTGCAGCGGTCTGGGGTTAGAAAACCTCAAGAGAAGGTTACACTCGGCAGTTTTCAAGCTGTAAGAACTGAAGAAAAAAACAAAACCTAAGCCTGGAGTTGCAATATGGAAATATGCAATAGATCTATGGGCGAAAGCCTCCCCATGTTGTGTTTGAGCCCATTGTTGCAGCCATTGTGTCAGTGGGAGGCTGGCAGGGTTTCCTTCTGTTGTACTCGGGGTGACTCGAGTCAGAAGGGACTCAATGACAACTAACAACCACAACAGGGGCCAAATATTAAAACAGGGAGCATCAAAGGAAGATGCCAGGAACACACAGTCGTTGTACCAAACAGAATCGGTTGAGGTTCAGGAGGTCTTACCTTACATGATAAGAAACTAATGATCATGAAGGAAGAAATCCAAACGGTACCGAAGACATTAGTAAAGAGCAAGGCTCCTGATCAATGGAGATGTTCTCACAACTAGTTCACTTCTCTATGTCATGACATTTGAAAATAAATAAACAAAGTAATGTGGAAGACAGCCACCTGGCAAACCAACGGAAAGACTGTGGGATATAAAAAGCCTGTTCCCCAGATTTGTCTCCCCCAAGGATAGGTCAAACATTAGAAGCTATTTGCCAGCACGTGGTGGGAGGCCAGATGCATTCAGCCTTCAGACTACTGTCTGGTCCCACTACAGGTGGGGCCCACTCCCTAAAGGCTTGTGGCCATCAGTCTGGTCCACTGTAGGTGGAGTTCATACCCTAATGGTTTCTATGGAGAACCAGAGAACAGGTCAAACCTGCTCAATGACATCCAGAATTAAGCTGCCTCCCTGAATCTAGGATCCTCCCATCTTGTCACATGTGTACCCCTAATCCCTCCCCTTCCTATTGCATGTATACCCCTAGATCGCCCCTTCTCATCACTGTATTACCTACAGCACAACCCCTTCCTGTGACATATGTCCTTACCTGTAATTAGGGGGTTTGCATGCCCCCCTCCCAAAGATATATAAGCCTTGGTTAGCAATAAAGAGCTCGCTCTCCCAGTCCTCCCCCCACCTCTCATCCTCTCCCCAGGCTCTTTCCCTTGTCCTGGCTCCCCATGTCCTTCCTCATCCTCCCTCTCCTGCCCTTCTATCCACGCTGTGCACGGGCCTGGCTGTTGAGATCCTGGCGTCCAGGTGAGCATGCTACCATGAAATGTGTCTGACTTCTTTATTTCAATCTCTCTTCCATCTCTCCCTATTCTCTATGACTTTATTATAATCTCTCTATATATTTTTTAACCGTACCATTGCACCTGTTAATCCCATGATTAGTTGTGGGGGGCTTGCCTTCCCCCACAGAAGACATTCATATTTGTGCCCATTCCAAAGAAGGGGGACCAAGTAGAAGGCAAAAAATTATCAAT